AGGACAAGAGAAACTACTGAAGAAACCTACTTTAAATACAAGGACATACATAGATTAAAAGTAAAGGAATGGAGAATGATATACCATGCTAACAAAAATAGAAAGAAAGCTGGAGTAGCTATATTAATTTTAGACAGGTGTCTTCAGAGCAAGAAAAATTGTCAAGGCTAAAGAGAAACATTGCATAATGATAAAAAAAATCAGTTCTCCTAAAAGACATAACAATCTTTAATGAGTATGCCTCAAAGTACATGAGGCAAAAACTGATAGAACTGTAAGGAGAAACAGATGACTCCTAGATTATAGTTGTAGACTCCAACATCCTCTCTATCATAAATGGACATATCTAGCAGACAGTACATCTGTAAGGACATAGTTGAACTCAACAACACCATCAATCAACTGGATATAATGAACATCGATAGATTACTTTATCCAAAATCAGCAGAATATACATCATTCTCAAGAATATTAATCTCATTCTGGGTCATAAAACATACCTTACCAAATTTAAAAGAATATCAATAACATAATATATGCTCTCAAACCACAGTGGAATTAAACCAGGAATTAACAACAGAAAGATAGCTAAAAAATAAATTAAAAAATACTTGGAGATAAAGATCAAACTTGTTTTTTTTTTATTTTTTTTTGAGTTGGAGTCTCACTCTGTCGCCCAGACTGGAGTGCAGCGGCTGCTCCCGGCCACCGCAGCCTCAACCTGCTGGGCTCCGGCAATCCTTCCGCCTCAGCCTTCCAAGTAGCTGGAATTACAGGCATGTGCTACCATGCCCGGCTGATTTTTTGATTTACTGTAGAGATGAAGTCTCGCTGCCCAGGCGGGTCTTGAACCCGCGGGCTCAGGCAATCCACTCACCTCAGCCTCCCAAAGGCGCGGGATTATAGGCTGGGCCACCGAACCCGGCTAAGACCAAACTTTTAAATAACACATGAATCAAAGAAGAAATCTCAAGAGAAAGTTAAAAAAATTTTTTAATGAAATCAAAATTAAAGTAGAACTTATCAAAATTTGTGATACAGAAAAAACAGTGTTCTGGGGGAAATTTACAGCATTAAATGCACATATTAGAAAAGAAGAAAAATCTAAAATCAATAATCTAAACTTGCACTACAGATTCTACCTTAGGAAAAAAAGAACAAATTATACTCAAAGGAGGCAGAAGAAAAGAAATAATAAAAATTAGAGAAGTCAATAAAATTAAAACAAGAAATTAATAGAGAATTTGTTTTTAAAAAGCCGGTTTTTTAAGCTGGGCTCGGTGGCTCAGCCTGTAATCCTGCGCCTTTGGGAGGCTGAGGTGAGTGGATTGCCTGAGCCCATGGGTTTGAGACCCGCCTGGGCAGTGAGACCTCATCTCTACAATAAATAAAAAAATCAGCCAGGCGTGGTAGCGCATGCCTGTAATTCCAGCTGCTTGGAAGACTGAGGCGGAAGAAACGCCAGAGCCCAGCAGGTTGAGGCTGCGGTGGCCGGAAGTGGCCACTGCACTCTGGTCTGGGCGACAGAGTGAGACTCCAACTCAAAAAAAAAAAAAAAAAGCTTTTTTTTTGAGAGGATCAGTAAAATTAATAAACCTCTAGCCAGGCTAAGAGAAAAGAGAGAACACACAACTTACTAATGTCAGAAATGAAAGTGGAGATATTACTACTGATTCCATAGATGCTAAAAAGGATAATAAAGGAGTATTATGAACAACTATAAGCCCACAAATTTGATAGCCTGGATGAAATCGACCAATTGCTTGAAAGACACAATCTGCCAAACCCACACAAGAAAAAATAGTCAATCTGATTAGACCTATATCTATTAAGATATCGAATCAATAATGAATAACTTTCCAAAGAGATAAGTACCAGGTCCAGCTAGGTCCATAGGCAAGGTCTATCAAACATCTAAGAAGGAATGTATACCAATTCTCCTACAATCTATTCCAGAAGATAGAAGCAGAGGGAATACTTTCTAACTTGTTGTATGAAGACAAACTACTCCACAACCAAACTCAGACTAAGATATTACAAGAAAAAAACTACAGAACAATATCCTTCATGAACACTGATGCAAAAATCCTCAAAAAAGTATTCACAAATCAAAATCCAACAATGTATAAAAAGAATTATACACCACAACCAAGCTGGGTTTGTCCCAGGTATGCAAGACTAGTTCAACATTTGAAATCAATTAATGTAATCCACCACTTTAACGGGCTAAAGAAAAAAAAGCACATGATCATCTCAATAGATGCAGCAAAAGTATTTGACAAAATCCAGCACCCATTCATGATAAAACCTCTCAGTAAACTAGAAACACAGGGAGAACTTCTTTAATTTGATAAAGAACACCTACAAAAACCCTACAGCTAATATTGTACATAATGATGAGAAGCTAGAAGCTTCCCTGCTAAGATCAGAAGCAAAGCATGGAAGGCTGTTTGTACCACTCCTTTTCAATATCATGCTGGAAATACTAGCTAATGCAATAAGAAAAGGAAATGAAAGGTTTATAGATTGGGAGGAAAAAATTAAACTTTGCTCACTGGAGACATAATTGTCTATGTAAAAAATCCAAAAGGATCAGCATAAATAATCCTCCTGAAATTAATCAGTGATTATAGCAAGGTTGTCAGACAAATACAAGGTTAATATACAAAAGCTAATCATTTTTCTATATATCAACAACAAAGTGACATTTGAAATTAAAAACATAGTACAATTACTTAATACCCACAAAAATGAAATGCTTAGGTATAAATCTAACAAAATGTGGACTAGATCTATGTGAGGAAAACTACATAACTCTGATTAAATAAATCAAAGAACTAAGTAAATGGAGAGATATTCCAGGCTCATGGATAGGAAGACTCAATATTGTCAAGATGTCAGTTTTCCCCAACTTGGTACATACATTCCAAACAGTCTCAGTCAAAATTTTAGGAAATTATTGTGAATATCAACAAACTAATTCTAAAGTTTATGAGGAGAGAAAAAAAGACCTAAAATATCCAACACAATTTTGAAACAGAAGAACAAAGTCAGGGAACTGACACTACCCAACTTCATGACTTTCTATAAATCTATGGTAAAAAAGACAGTGTGGTATTGGTGAAATATAGTCTAATAGATCAATAGCACAGAATAGAAAGCTTTCAAATGTACCCACACAAATACAGCCAACTGATCTTTGACAAAGGAGAAGATATAGTTCAGTAGAAAAAAGATGGTCTTTTCAACATATGGCCTGGAAAAACAATACATGCTCATGCAAAGAGGGGGAGAGAGAGGGAGAGAGAGAGAGAGAGAGAGAGAGAGAGAGAGAGAGAGAGAGAGAATCAAAAAACAGATCTTATATCCTTCACAAAAAATTAACTGAAACTGGATTGTAGACCTAAATATAAAATGCAAAGCTATAAACTCCCAGAAGATGACATAGGAAAAACCTAGATAACCTTGGGTATGATGATGACTTTAAAATAAAACACCAATGGCATAAACCATGAAAGAAATAATTGATAAGCTGGACTTCATAAAAATTAAAAACTTTTGTTCTGCAAAAGATGCTGTCAAGAGACCAAGCAGAGAAGCCACAGACTGGGAGAAAGGTACAGAAAAGACATATCTGATAAAAGACTTTTAGCTAAAATATCCAATTATTAAAACTGAACAATAGGAAAATGGACACCCAAATAAGAAATGGGCAAAAGATATGAAAAGACATCTCATTAAAGATGATATACAGATGACAAATAAGCATATGAAAAATTTTCCACATCATATGTGATTAGAAAATTACAAATTAAAACAGCAATGACATATAGTTACAAACCTATTTGAACAGAAAAAAAAAAAATCCAAAATGCTGACAACACCAAATGCCACTTAAGATGTAGAGCAATAGGGACTGCTGGTGGGAATGCAAAATGGGACAGACATTCTGGAAAACAAAACTAAATATTTTCTTACCTACAATCTAGCAGGTGTGCTTCTTGGTATCTATGTACATGAATTGAAAACTAATATCCACACCAAAACCTGCACACAAGTTTATAGCAGTTTTATCCATACTTGTCCAAACTCGTAAGAAACCAAGATTACCTTCAGTAAGAGAGTGGATAAACTATCCAAAAAATAAGATGCTATTCGCTGCTAAAAAGAAGGACCCAATCAAGCCATTGAAAGACATGAAGAAGCCATTGAAAGACATGAAGAAGCATTAAATGCATATTACTAAGTGAAAAAAGCCAATCTAAGGTTACAAACTATATTTTAACTATATGACATTCTCAAAAAGGCAAAACCAAGGAGACAGTAAAAAGATATGTAGTTGCCAGAGGTTGGGAGAGGAGGGATGAACGGGTTTTTTTTATTTTTATTTTTATTTTTATTTTTTTTAAAGGCAGTGGTACTATTCTGTATGATACTGTATGTCATGATGAGTATATTTCACATACATTTGACAAAACCCACAGAATGTGCAACACCAAGAGAAACCCTATATAAACTAAGGACTTTGGGTGACAATGATGTCAATTTAGGTTCATCACTTGTAACAAGTGAACCTTTCTGTACTTTTGGATCAGTTGTCCAGTGAACTAAGCCTGCAGTACAAAAATAAACTCTATTAAAAGAATCCAAGGCCCCCTCTCATCTTTTGATAAGATAAAAGTCCCATTTGTTTTGATCCTCTTATCCCTGGAGGAGGAGGAGAGGTCTCTTCCCCCCAAACTTTTCCCCCAAGCACCCCAATCAAGGATCCACTTGTTCTCTCAGCACCCTAATACCATCTGTCTTGCAGAGATGGGGGATTAGGAACCAGAGTGTTTCCTTCTTCTATTTCCTGCTGGAGGGTTCCAACCCTGACCTCTGCTCTGGGTTTTTCAGGCAGGTCCAGGGACAATTTCTTCCATGACGTGATCCCTCTTCCAGTGCAGGTCCCCGAGTGAGATAAAGGATTTGGGATGAACAGGAGTAGATGGAACAACGGAATGGCGTTGAGGGCTAAGGCAGATGTGTGGCCCTGGAGGTCCCTGCGAGGACCACGATTACTGGGCACCAGAGCAGCTCCAGTCCCCAAGGCAGTGCTGCCCTTTGAGGCCATACCTCAGAGTCCAGGAAACAAGTGGCTGAAGATGCTGCAGATCTGGAGGGAACAGGGCTACAAGAACCTTCACCTGGAGATGCATCAGACCTTCCAGGAGCTCGGACCCATTTTCAGGTAAAGGCCTTCCTGCTCCAACTGAGAACACACAGAATCTTCTGGCCCTGCTGATTGCTGAAGCCCTTGCCAGGCACACAGCACTGCCATTTCCCAGCCGGTCCTCTGTGCTGTTTGTCCTTAGGAAGATGGGGAGTGAGTGTTGTGGGTTGCCAGTGTTTGCCAGTGGAGATGAGGGCACTTCATGAGGAGAGAGCAACACACAGTTTGCTGCAGAGAGTACAGGGCTCAGAGGCACTGAAGTTGGAGAGGCTCCAGGTTGATGGCAGGAAGGACTTCCTGCAGTGAGGTCAGTAGTCCAGGAGAAGGGAGAGGCAGAATAGGAGACAAACTGGGTTGGGTTTGCAGAGTGGGACCCAGGGGAGGACATGCCCCCATCCAGCAGGGCTTGTGGCTTGCCTCACAGGTACAACGTGGGAGGAACACAAAGGGTGTGTGTGATGCTGCCGGAGGACGTGGAGAGGCTGCAGCAGGTGGACAGCCTGTACCCCCACCGGACAAGCCTGGAGCCCTGGTTGGCCTACAGACAGCATCGAGGGCACAAATGCGGCGTGTTCTTGCTGTGAGGGGCTAATTGGGATGAAGAGGGAGGAGGAATGGGCAGCCTGGACACAGAGAGCAGGCCAGACAGACAAGACCCAAGAGCACACCTGTGATGAGCCTGCAAGTTGGGTGGAGTTAGGGTGAGCACTGAGCCCCCAAAGGGCCATCTCATGGGTGTTGTGTCTACCCTTTGTGGGGGAACAGAGCAGCTGTAGGGAAATGTGCATGGGCATCTTTGCAGATGATGAGGGGAACAATGGGCTCTTCCACGTAGCGAACATCCACTCCCCCGAGGTTTTGGCAGCTGCTCTCTTGTTGGTGCAGGTTGGAGGCTCTCTTTCTCACAGGTCAGGAAACTGAAGCCCTGAGAGGGGGCTCACTAGCCCAGATCACAGCCACCTGTACCACAGCCTGATGTTCACAAGGGTTGCAACCTCACTCAGGGTGCCCTTGGCTCCTAGAGGTATGGCAAACTTTGGTGCTGAGGACAAGTCCTGGGGATGAGGCAGATAGGGAGCAGGTGACTGCTGGCTCCATTGTTCTCAGAAGCGAACTACAAAGTGGAGCTGGAGTGCTGAGGAGTTTTGTGACCCATGGAAAGGATGACACACCTAGTCAGGCCGGCAGGGAGAAGGTGGCGCTCAGAGTGGATCAACTGTAGAGAGTTTTGCCATTAGGACAGGCAGAAGGGCTGAGTGAGACATAGACTGATAATAGCTGTCCCAATGCTTGCTGGGAAGTGAATTCTCTTGGGTAAAGCAGGGTTTAGGAAAATGGGCACCCCTGAATGGGGTCAGGTCCTCCCGAGTGGGTGTGTGTATTTGAAGGAAGGCTGTGTTTGTGTTTGTGTTATTATGACTGCGTATATATCTTGCATGTGTGCACAAGTCTGTGCTTCTCTGTACTTGCATTCTTTTTTATTTTTATTTTTTATTAATTAATTTATTTTAAAGATGTGGGGTACAATTCAGGATTAGGTAGATAAGTGGTCATTGAACAGGTACACTTTCGTTCTCACTTTGGTCCCCACTTTACCTGGTTTGAGATCAAATACCCTTATTGATGTTATGTGCTCTGTCCTCCCTCCCCTGGCAGTTTCCTGCTACTCCCAATCCATTTCTTATAGTATTATATTAAATGTTCAAGATCCGCTTATGAGCAAAAACATGTAGTACTCAGTTCTTTGTTTCTGTGATAGATCACGAGTATTATAGACTCTTAATTCATCCAAGTTGCTGTGAAGTCCATTGTACTTGCATTCTTACATGTGTTGTAAGTTCATGTGTGTCCATGCCTGTTTGCATGTGCGTGCCTACAGGGATGTGTGATGTGTGTGCATACAGGGATGTGAGGTGTGTGTGCACAGGTGTCTCTGTGTGTGCATTTGTTTGTGCGTGCTTGGTTGTTATGTCTGTGCACAGGTGTGTATGGTCTATGTGCACACATATGTTTTAAGATCTTACATGGGAACACACATGTGCATGCACATGTGCTGTGGTCATTGTCATCATCCATAAGCAGCTAGCCATACCAAAAAAAGGCACTTTTGCACAAATGACACTAAGAGAGGGAAATTCCTGCCCACCGTTCGCTGAAGGACATTCATGGAGCTCCCATGAGATCTGGGCTCAGTTCGAGGCTATTATGAGAGACACAGTTTTGTTCCTACCCTACAGAAGAGGCAGACACTTCACAGAGACAGGCAGATGCTACTGGCTCCAGCGGCAGCATGCTCAGAAGGAAGGGTGGGAAGATGGAAGGCTGACAGGGGACTCTCCTCTCTGGGGCATGGTGTGGGTGAGGTAGGCAAACTTGACAGGAGGGGCACCCTCCTCCCTTGGAGAAGGACCTCCCCACCTAGCGAAGGCCCAGAGGGGTGATGTGCTACCAACACTGGCCCACAAGTTCCCAGGAATCACCTCAGTTACCACCGCAGGACTTTCTGGCAGAAGGAACCGTCTCATCCCCATTTTAGATGTTGGTGGCCTAAGGCCCAGCACCTGGAGGCCACTCTGAGAAGAAATGCTGCAGCTAGAGCAGAGATGCAGGCAGTCTGCCTCTCTGGCTCTCTCAGCTCCCTGCCCCACCCATGCCTTGGGAAAAAAGAGGACAGGATACAGGTTTGCAGCCACATTTTATGCAGCCACCTCTCAAGACCTGCTCCCTGCTCTGTAGGAATGGGCCTGAGTGGCGCCTCAACCGATTGCAGCTGAACCCAGATGTGCTGTCACCAAAGGCCGTCCAGAAGTACCTCCCCTTGGTGGATATGGTGGCAAGGGACTTTGTTCAGGTCCTGAGGAACAAGATGCTGCAGAATTCCCAGGGGAGCCTGACCCTGGACATCCAGCCCAGCATCTTCCAGTATACCATAGAAGGTGTGGGGTCAAGTGGGATGGTCCTGCCTCAGTGACCCTGGAGTGACCGGGAACATGGTGGGGAGGCAACTGGGAGGCCTGGGACAGCCTTAGGCTCAGCAATCCATCCTCCCTGCAGCCAGCAATTTAGCTTTTTTCGGAGAGCGGCTGGGTCTCTTTGGCCATCACACCAGCTCAGCCAGCCTAAACTTCTTCCATGCCCTGGAGTCCATGTTCAAATCCACTGCGCAGCTCATGTTCATGCCCAGGAACCTGTCCTGCTGGACCAGCCCAAAGGTGTGGAAGGAGCATTTTGAGGCCTGGGATAGCATCTCCCAGTATGGTAAGGCCTAGGGACTCGGCAATTCTATAGGACTGGGACTCACTGATCACCGTTTCTCATTCTCCACAGCCCATGGGAGACCTGAGACACCATGAAAGAGTGATGGTGTCCTCAGTGTCCTAACAGGTGGTTGAGAGGGAGGCTGGGGCTGGCTGGATTAATCTGGAGATATTGGGACGGGAGTGGAGAGACATGGGTGTTGGTGGCAGGATGAGTAGGAGGAAGACAAAGAAGAGATGCTCCCAAGCACCAAGGCTTCAGCACTGTTCCTTTTTCTTTCTACAGCTGACAATTGCATCCAGAAAATCTATCAGAAATTGGCTTTCAACTGCCCTCAACACTACAGCGGCATTGTAGCAGAGCTCTTGTTGCATACAGACTTGTCAATAGATGCCATCAGGGCCAACTGTATTGAACTTACAGCCGGGAGTGTGGACACGGTCAGGCCAGTAACCGGCCCACCGAGAGTGTGATGTTCACCCTGACTCTTAGGCAGTGTCCTCTTATGTCACATATTGCCCACATGCTCCACTCCCGAGCTATGCCTCCCCCATTCCTGCTGCCCTCAGCCTCTTTCCTCAGATTATGAAGTGATAAAAACACTTGCAGGCAGGGAACATGAGAGCTACCCTCCAAGGAGACAGAGAGTGCAGCTACTCATGTGGGAAACCTCAGTCCAGGCACAAAGAAGGGCGAACAAGGACTGGGGACATGCCACAGTTCAGCCCCCATTCAGTTGTCCTGGGCATGGGATGAGAAGGAGGGGTGGGAAGGTGGCTGAAGGGCTGACAGGGTGCCTTCCCATTGTGTCAGGTTGGCTTGGGATTCTACCAGAGACCAGGGAGGGGTGGGGTGAGGAGAAGAGAGCAGCACAGAACTGGAGCACAGAGCAGATGGTGACACAGCTAGGCGAGGCAGGCCTGACCTATGTAATCTAGTACAACTGAAGCTTCCAGTCTGCAGATCAACTTTCATCTCCCAAGGGTCTGCTCTGGGCCAGGGACCTGGATTCAGAGAGAGGCATCGAGCAGTAATGGAGAAACTCACTTAGCAGAGGCAGAGATGCATGCAGCCAGGGAGAGAGGGTCTGGGAGAGGTCATGGGCATTCACAGGTATGACTCAGAAGGCTTCCTGGAGCAGGGAGACTTTCAGCAGAAAATAAGAAAACAAAGTATAGGTTAGAGAGATCACAAAAGGGGAGGCAGAGAGGGCAGCAGCTCATGGTATGCAATGGCCCAGAGTCAGGGAGGGCAGCAAGGCTGGCGGAAGGCACCAGGGAGGCGGAGGCAGCGAGGCCGAGAGAAGACAGGGCTTCAATCAAGACAGGAGCTGCACTGGCTCCAAGCCCTTATGCCAAGGCTAGAGGAAGGCAGTACGGGGAGTCAGTGTTTGCTCCTACTCCCTGAGGATCCCTGCAGTGCCTCAGGACAGAGCAGGGACTGAAGCTTGGCCGCAGCAGGGAGGGCCCACAGAAGGCCAATTCAGGTTAGGACAGCATGGCCTGGGATGAGGGCTGTGGATGCCTAGGGGAGATTACCCCTCTGAACTTGGGCCTTCAGAACTCCCCTGATAGAGCTGAGAGCCAGCCCCTCGTGGGCCCTAGAGGAGGCTGTGAGAACCTGACCCTGAGGAGTCTGGAGAAGAACTGGGCCTTGGTTGGGGTGGGGTTTGCTGTTCTCTGGAGAACCCAGGGAAATGTGTTCACTGGGCATTAGGATTTGAGGCCCAGGGTCCCTGGACACTGTCCTGCTCACAGCATACATTTCCCTGTCCTGTGGCGGGGAGTCTTCTGGGAGGGTGCCCTGGGGGCAGAGGCCCTCCTTGTGCCAAGATCTGACCCTGCACCCTTGGCTTCTGCAGACGGCCTTCCCCTTGATGATGGCACTCTTTGAGCTGGCTCGGAACCCTGATGTGCAGCAGGCCCTACGCCAGGAGAGCCTGGTAGCTGAGGACAGTATCATCGAACATCCCCAGAGGGCAACCAAGGAGCTGCCCCTGCTGCAGGCGGCCCTCAAGGAGACCCTGAGGTAGGTGCTGGCTGACCCCTCGCCAGTTGTCCTGGCCACTCTGCTTTAGAGCAGCATACACTGGGGTTGGTGGGGGCAGACAAAAAATGGGGCCTATACCTTGCCTAGGAATCCATTCCTTAGATACCTCCTCCTCCTCTCTAAAGGAGAGGGGTCTCTTCTTCTTCTTGGATCCTCTTCAATATCTTGGGGACCAACGTGGGGCAGTCCTCCTTGGCTTGGGGTGATCAGGATAGAGGGAGGTTTGGCTGAGCTCAGCAGGTGCGAGGACACACTTCCTCACGATCTGGGCTTCCCATTGGGGTCTGTGATATCTGGGGAGTATTGGGCATGAAGGCTGCAGAGGGCACAAAAGGGTCCTGTCACTGCTGAGAAGTTATTGGTGCCCCCTTCCCAGGCTCTACCCGGTGGGTGCCACTGTGGAACGACTGGTGAACTCAGACTTGGTGTTGCAGAACTACCACATCCCAGCAGGGGTGAGTGAGCCTCACAGTCTCTCCAGCAGTGCTTCCCTACCCTCTTCCCTGGGGGTGCAGCTGACCACCCCTCCACACCTTCTGCAGACATTGGTCCAGTTGTTCCTCTACTCATTCGGACGCAACCCTGCCTTGTTCCCAAGACCAGAGAGCTATAACCCCCAGCGCTGGCTAGACATGAGGGGCACCAGCAGGAACTTCCACCACCTGTCCTTTGGCTTTGGTGTGCGCCAGTGCCTGGGGCGGCGCCTGGCAGAGGGGGAGATACTGATGCTGCTGCACCACGTGAGCTACACTGCCAGGGAGGGGGCGGGGCCTGAATTTCATGAGTGGGGCCTTGTTGGGGCCATGCTTGGGCTAGGTCCTGGGTGGTGGAAGATCATGGGTGGGCTTGGTGGGACAGGGCAGGGATGTGTACGAGTGAGGGCAGGGTTCGGTTTGAGCTTGGTGAAAATGTCGTGGTTGACTTGATGTCCCTACTTGGGCCCACAGGCTGCTCCTCCCCCTTCAGTATAATTGTTGCACCTAAGAGGGTGGGCAGAGGCAGCCCTGGTCCCTGGGCTGCTGTCTAGACTAGATGGAAATCCTGCTTCTGTCCTAGGTGCTGAAAAACTTCCAGGTGGAGACATTAACCCAAGAGGATATAAAGATGGTCTACAGCTTCATATTGATGCCCACCACCTTCCCTCTCCTCACCTTCAGGGCCATTAAGTAGTCAGACACCTGTACCCAGTGTTGCAGCCTGTCTGCCAACCTTCTGCTGCCATGACCCAGACTGCCCCTCCTCTCACCCACATGCACTACTCTGTCTAGCCAGCTCCTGCAGAAATGGAACACTGAGCCCCTCCAGGGCCAGGGTTTTCTAGGCTATGCAGCAAGATCAGGGCATCACTGAGGATGAACTTGCTGACAGGACCAACCTTGCCTCCAGCCCCATCCTGCTTTTTCAGCAATCATGATCTTCTGATCACTTTACCTCATCCCTCCCAGCACTAGCTCTGGGCCCCTCCTGCGACTGTCCAAGGGTGCTTTGATTTGGTCCCTTGCCTTCCTGTCTAGGTGTATATCTCCCTGTCCCTGTCTTCCTTCCCCCTCATCAAAACCTGTCCATGGATTGCTTCAGTGTTATTAAAGAGGAACTCAGCATCTGAGAGTCTTGTTCAAGTTTCCTTCCTAAAACCTATCTTTTCAGGAAGCTCAAGCAGACCCCGAGCTCTCTGAAATTCATCATCTTGGTAGAAGATCTTACAGGGTACAGTGAAAAGGCCCTTTTGATCACTTGTCCTGATCCATCATATAAACATGATTACAAAGATAGATTGATATTTACACACACATATACACAAAACATAATTTTAATGCAATTGAAAACTATATGTATACATTTAAATAATAATAATATATTGATGCATTTCTTGGTCAGTTATATTGTTAGAGCATAACAATTGGTAAGCTAGTAAAGTATATGTAAAGATTAGTGTCCTCTGTGTGTAACCAAGGATGGTCGTGGTGGTTAGAGATGGAGAGCAGAAGATCATGGTAAAAACCTGTAGGGCAGTAGCAGGAAAAGTAACTGGAGAGCGAGTGGTCCTATGTACGGAGGTGAGACATTTGTATGAGGCAGATACCTTCTGGGGAAAGCAATAATCTCTCCCCCAATTTTTAGACTGGCACAAATAGTATTAACCTTTTGCAGATGTCCTTTTAGGCATGGGAGGGCAGAGGTGTACATTCTTCCAGAGATCAAGAATTTTTACAAGGATCGTGGCTGTTATGGGCTGAGTTATGTCCCCCTGAAATTCATGTTAAGCTAAGACCAGGGACCTCAGAATGTGACTACTTGGAGGCAGGGCCTTTTTAAAAAATTTATTTTATTTTTAAATTTATTTTCCTTTTTAGTTTTTTAAAGATGTGGGGTACAATTCAGGGTTAGTTATAAAAATGTTCATTATGCTGGTACCCGTGTTGATGAGGTGTGTCCCCCTTCCCCAGGCAGATTTCCACTACTGCCAATCCCGTTCCCCCAACCCCGGCAGTTTCCTGCTACTGCCAATTTTTTCTTATAGTATTATGATAATTGTTCAAGGTCCACTTATGAGTGAGAACATGTGATACTCAGTTCTTTGTTTCTGTGAAAGATCACTCAGTATTATAAACTCTAAGTCCATTCGGGTTGCTATGAAGTTCATGATTTTGTTTTTTATTGCTGTGTAATAGTCCATTGTGTATATGTACCACATTTTTTTAATCCAGTCCTCCTTTGATGGGCAACATGGTTGGTTCCATGTTCTTGCTACTGTGAACAATGCTGCGATAAACATTTGTGTGCAGGTATCTTTTTTTATAGAGTGATTTGAGTTCTTCTGGGTATATTCCCAGCAGGGGGATTGCGGGGTCATACGGAAAGTCAATTTTTAGAACTTTTAGGAATCGCCACACTGTTTTCCACAGAGGCTGTACTAGTTTACACTCCCACCAACAGTTTAGAAGTGTTCCCTTTTCTCCACATCCTCTCCAGCATCTGTTGTTTTTTGAGTTATTGATAATGGCCATCCTGACTGGAGTTAGGTGGTATCTCAGTGTCGTTTTAATTTGCATTTCTTTGATGACTAGTGAGGCTGAGCATTTTTTCATGTATCTGTTGGCTACTTGTATGTCTTCTCTTCAGAAATGTCTATTCATATCTTTTTCCCACTTTGTAATGGGGCTGCTTGTTTTTTTCTTTTTGGCACATTTGAGTTCCTTGTAGATCCTAGATGTTAGGCCTTTGTCAGACATACAGTTGGCAAATATTTTTTCCCAGTTTTGGACTGTCTCCCTGCTCTCTTGATGGTTTCTTTGGCTTTGCAGAAGCTTGCCAGTTTGCTGAGGTCCACTTGTCTATCTTATCTCATATGGCATGGGGACTTGGTGTTTTGATCAGGAATTAGTCGACAGTTCCAATTTCCATAAGGGTGTCTCCTGCACTTTCTAAGGTCCTTATAGTTTGAGATTTTGCATTTAGGTCTTTATCCATTTAGATTTGACTTTTGTGTATGGTGATAGGTAGGGATCTTATTTTAATCTTCTGTATATGGTCAACTAATTTTCTCAGCACCATTTACTGAATAGGCTCTCCTTTCTCCAGTCATTGATGGTAGAGGCTTTGTTGAACATGAGTTGGTTGAGAAATTAAGGTTTTGCTTCTGGAATCTCTGTCCTGTTCCGTTGTTCTATATGCCTGTTCTGTTCCTGTACCAGGCATACAGATCAATACCAGGCTGTTTTGATTACTGTAGTGTTATAATAGAGTTTAAAGTCTGGGACTGTGTTACCTCCCACTCTGGTTTTTTTTTTTTTTTGCTGAGGATTGTTTTGATGATTTGTGGTCATTTATGTTTCCATATGAATTCCTGTATTGTCGTTTCCAGGTCTGAGAAGAATGCTGCTGGTAATTTAATGGGTATTGCATTAAATCTGTAGATTGCCTTGGGTAGGGTGAACATCTTAACAATGTTGATTCTTCCAATCCATGAGCATGGAATATTTTTCCATTTGTTTGTGTCAACTTGATTTCTTTGAGCAGTGTTTTGTAGTTTTCATTGTAAAGGTATTTCACATCTCTGGTTAGGAAGATGCCAAGGCATTTGTATGGTTTTTTGGTGTGTGTGGCTAATGTGAATGGGATTGTGATTTTTATTTGGGTTTCTGTTTGTTTATTGTTGGTGTATAGAAATGCAATGGTCTTTTGCACATTGATTTTGTACCCTTAGACTGCAAGGAGTTTTTTGACTGATTCTCTTGGGTTTTCAAGGTATTGAATGTGTTGTCTGCAAAGAGGGATAACTCGACTTCCTCTTTTCCTATTTGGATACCTCTGATCTTCTTCTCTTGAGACAGGGCCTTTAACAAGATAAATAATGTAGACAGAAGTCACTGGGGTAGACCCTAATCCACTATAACAGGTGTCTTTATAAGAAGAGACTAGGCTACAAGCACCCACAGAGGGGTGTCCATGTTAGGACACAGGGAGAAAATGACCTTTCACAAGCCAAGGAGAGAAACCTGAGAAGAAACCAACTTGTCAATGCCTCCGTTTCAGTCTTCTAATCCCTAGAACCTGTGAAAAAAAATAAACTTCTATTGTTTAAGACACCCAGGCCATGATACTTTGTTACTGTAGCCAAAGCACGCAGACAGCAAGCTCCTGAACCATAATACAAAACTAAAGAAAGAAAAGCAATAAACGTCCTGTGCCCAACTAATGCTCCAATGGAGGCCATCCATAGGCAATGCTGGGGAGTTCAGATTTTAGTATAGTTGGTCAAAGGGGGATTAAGTCTCCGGTTAGGATCTTCAAGTCATTCCTACATGGCAATGGAACATGTGGACAACATGTGGACACATGGCAGTGTCCACAAGATTTGATTAGGTGTTTGACAGTCTTTTATTAATGGGACCACATCCCCCCCCTTGGTCTTTTGGGGAAAATGGAAGTAAATGTTTCTTTTCTTTCCCCGTTTTCATTAAACACTGAGTTTCTGGTCTTCGGGGGTGGGACTGGGTTGGGGGACGATTGGAGACACCAGAAAGGCAAGCAGTAACACTCGCCTTGGAGAGGCACATGAAATTATGGGACTATCGCTGTTCCTAGAGACAGGAGGCCTGGAATGCCACATGGGAGACTATAGGGAGGAGCTCCCAGAAAGCAGCTCCACCAAGCAGGTGGGAGCAGGGAGAGAGAATGGACCCAGGGGCAAGTGCCTTTCCAGGGTCAGGGCGGAGCACACAAGCAGGTGTGAGGGATACCGTTGAATATCACTAGGTAATAGTCAGGGGATGGCAGGAAAGGGAACTTGCTGTAGGGACCAGCTTCATCCTACTGGTAAACCTGGCCTGTGGGGATGTTGAGGCACCAGGAAAATGTGACCTTTAAAAACTTTCCAATATACAAAGTCTCTATGGTGAGGGACGCTCTGGGAGCTCTAAGCAGAGTCCCTGTGGATTTCATCTGGACAGATTTTAGAGGCTTTTGTTGGAGGAGAGACTTGTCTGCAAGGAGCAGCACCAGTGAACCTAAGTAAATTTGTAAGTGACGAATATGTTGGTACCAGAACCCAAAAAGGATCAGAAGATTTTGGCTTGTATATCCTTAATGGGTGTGTGGGATGAATCTTCTTGTAGGAGGATACCCTCAATGTCATGTCCTCCCTGTGCTCTTGGAGGAAGGCAGATGTAGTCAGGATTCTGTCAGCCGACTGTGCTACGGAGGAGCTGTCAGCATCCCCCATGGGTTGCCCTGAAAGCTGTGTTGTGTCTCTTTGAGAAGCAGACAAATTAGAACTGAAGAACTGTGGAGATAGGCATGGAACACCGTGCATTAAAACAATTTATAATAGTTTATAATCTATACCTGGTGGTTGACTGGAAAGGGTCATTAATTTTAATAATATTGTGTCTTGGGCATGTGGACCTTAATGGCTGGGGCCACAACACTGAGGCTGTAGCAATCCACCATGAGGCATTCTTTATTTATGCCACTTTCAGAGCCAGAGTATTTGGGTTGCTAGCTGGAGAAACAGAGGAATAATCATGTCCTTTATTAATGAAGTTGATAAGTTTAGTTCTTGGAGGCATTTAAAAATATTTCTTTCTTTCTTTTTTTATTATAAAGATGTGGGGTACAATTCAGGATTAGGTATACAAATATTGATTATGCAGGGTACCCTTGTTGAT